GTGGCTACGGGTCAAGTAACGGAAATAGTGGCTACGGGTCAAGCAACGGAAATAGTGGCTACGGGTCAAGCAACGGAAATAGTGGCTATGGTTCTAGTAACGGAGGCAGTGGCTACGGGTCAAGCAACGGAAAGAGTGGCCACGGGTCAGGTAACGAAATAGTGGCTACGGGTCAAGTAACGGAAATAGTGGCTACGGGTCAAGCAACGGAAATAGTGGCTACGGGTCAAGCAACGGAAATAGTGGCTATGGTTCTAGTAACGGAAATAGTGGCTATGGGTCAAGTAAAAGGAAACAGTGGCTATGGATCAAATAACGGAAATAGTGGCTACGGGTCAAGCAACGGAAATAGTGGCTATGGTTCTAGTAACGGAGGCAGTGGCTACGGGTCAAGCAACGGAAATAGTGGCTATGGTTCTAGTAACGGAAATAGTGGCTACGGGTCAATGTACGAAATAGGTGGCTATGGGTCAACAGTAGGCAAACGGAATATGAGTTGGACATGGTCAAATAACGGAAATAGTGGCTATGGGTCAAAGCAACGAAATAGTGGCTACGGGTCAAGTAATGGAAACAGTGGCCATGGGTCAAGTAACGGAAATAGTGGCTATGGGTCAAGTAATGGAAACAGTGGCCATGGGTCGAGTAACGGGAATAGTGGCTATGGGTCAAATAACGGACAAAATAGTTTAGGAAGCTTTGGGATCAGGAGTTTCGGCAGCAGTGGCTTTGGAACATAGGTGGTTGGGAGGTTCGGGAGGCGGGTTTGGAGGCATAGGTGGATTTTCTAGCTTAGGAGGAGGATCTAGCTTGGGAGGTGGATCTAGCTTTGGAGGTGGATCTATCTTGGGAGGTGGATCTAGCTTTGGAGGTGGATCTAGCTTGGGAGGTGGATCTAGCTTTGGAGGGTGGCATCGCTCAAGCGGTTTTGGTAGCGGTGGAAGTAGCTTTGGGAATGGATTTGGAAAGGGAAGCAGCCTGGATTTCGGCTCTTTTCGATAAGAACGGAGGAGGTGGTTACGGATCCTCCAAATAACAACGGAGGTGGTTACGGATCCTCCAATAACAATGGAGGTGGTTACGGATCCTCCAATAACAACGGAGGTGGTCTACGGATCTCCAATAACAATGGAGTGGTCACGATCTCCAATAAACAACGGAGTGGTTTACGGATCATTCCAATAACATGGAGGTGGTTTACGGATCCTCCAATAAACAATGGAGGTGGTTACGATCCTCCACACACATAACAAGGGAGGTGGTTACGGATCCTCCACCAATAACAATGGAGGTGGTTACGGATCCTCCACCAATAACAAGGGAGGTGTTATCGGATCCTACACACCAATAACAACTGGAGGTGGTTACGGACTCCTCCAATGAACAATGGAAGATGGTTACTGGATCCTCAATAACAATGGTGAGGTGGTTACTGGATCCTCCACCAATAACAATGGAGGTGGTTACGGATCCTCCAATAACAATGGAGGTGGTTACGGATCCTCCACCAATAACAAGGGAGGTGGTTACGGATCCTCCACCAATAACAACGGAGGTGGTTACGGATCCTCCAATAACAATGGAGGTGGTTACGGATCCTCCAATAACAATGGAGGTGGTTACGGATCCTCCACCAATAACAAGGGAGGTGGTTTACGGTCCTCCACCCAATTAACAAGGGAGGTGGATACGGATCCTCCACCAATAACAATGGAGGTGGTTACGGATCCTCCACCAATAACAAGGGAGGTGGTTCTGGATCCTCCACCAATAACAAGGGAGGTGGATACGGATCCTCTAAAAACAATGGCGGCTACGGCACGATGAGTACGACGGGTTCGTCCTCGCTGCATTCCGGCTACGACAGCAACAATGGCTACAGCAGCAACAACGGACGCCACCGCGGCTACCTGGAACTACGGCACATGCGCGACGGCGGCTACGGCAATGACGACAATGACGACGACGGCGATGACGACGGCTACGATGACCACGACGGCGACGGTGACGACGACGGCGACGACGGCTACGGTGACCACGATGGCGACAGTGACGACTACGACGGTGACGACAACGGTGACGACGACTACGACGACGGCTACGGTGACGACAACGGTGACGACGACTACGACGGTGACGACGACTACGACGGTGACGACGGTGACGACGACTACGACGGTGACGACGACGACGACGGTGACGACGACGACGACAAGGTGCTGTACCGCATCGGCAAGCTAGCCGGCAACCGCCTGAGCAAGTCCATCGACCAGCTGGCAGCGAAGGAGGACCGCCGCCGCTACTACAACCAGCACCGCGTTCCCGTCATCATCGAGCAACGACCGAGGCACCTCAACAAACGTACGCTGTTAGGCAGATTCCGGAAGTATCTGACGCCGCACCGAAGACGCGAGCCCTACGGCTACAACAGACGTCACCACGGCTACAACAGACGTCACTATGGAGGAGGCGGCGGGTACGAACCGCACGGCGACTACGGACCGTACAGCGGATACAACACGTACGGCCGCGACGAACCACATAGCGGTTACGACACGCCACTCGTCGTTGACATATCCGGTGGCGGTTACGGCGACGACGGCAGATCTTCCCGTTACGGCGACTACGGCAGCTCTTCCCGTTACGGCGACGACGGCAGCTCTTCCGGTTACGGCGACGACGGCAGCTCTTCCGGTTACGGCGCCGACGGCAAATCTTCCGGTTACGGCGACGACGGCAAATCCTCCGGTTACGGCGACGACGGCGACGCTGATGATGCTTACTAAGCAGTGACGCAGGCGGCGCCCTGACGCGGCATTCCTTCTCCGTATCTGACGAATCATCGGAAATCCGGGGAGGGCGGCCATTTTTTTAGCGAGACTAGCTGAGAGCTAGCGAGGGCACACAGAGTCAGTAACACCTCCCCGAAGAAGAAGAAGGCGGAGAAGGCGGTGGAGGAAAGGGAGGAGAGGGAGGAGGAGGCGTCCCTGGTGGCGGAGGAAGACTAGGCTAGGCTCTCGTTACAAGAACAGCACAGAGAAACACAGTTAACATGGAAATGGATGCGCATTGTTGAGAGGAGTGACTGGAGTCCGAACAACGCGCTACATTGTACAGTCATCGTGACCGCACACCCGGGGCCTGCGAACCACATTTCGCTTAGTTATACTTGTGGGTAGTCATATCATATCATGATCATATTGTTCCACGAATGGATACGTAGTATTACGTACATACTCAGACCATTCTGCAGCACGTTTCGTGCCTATTATTATCAACATCTAGTAGCACGTTTTTTTTGCTAATCACCACTAACATTTCGAAGCACGTCCTATGTTTGTCAGCAGCACTAAGCAACACGTTTTGTCCGTTTCATCACCAGCTTTTCTAAAAATTCATCTAGGCTTGTCAGCAGCATCTTGTCGTACGTTATGTGCTTATTGTTACCAGTATCTAGCAGCACGTATTGTGCTTATTTTCACCAGAATCTATAACAGCTCGTTTTGTGTTCATCACTGCAACACATTTCATGTTTATTAGCTACTTCATTACATTTTATGCTTATAAAATCGCCAGCATCCATTATCATGTCTTGTAGCTATTGACGAATATAGCCACAATCTGGGTATGTATATATATGTCTATATAACATATATATATATATACACACACTGTTCACACACACATATATATATATATATATTATATATTATGTGTGTGGTGACATGTTTTGCATGTAAATTAATCGTATCGTGTAGAACAATGCGTAACTAACAGTAACAGGTAGTATTTATATAGTATATGTATTTTAATATTTTCGTGATACGTTGTTGTTACGGTTTCTCGGTACCCTCGGAACCTACCCTCAAGTTGTGGCTATAGATATTTTCAGAGTTTAATAAACCCAAATCAATTTGTCTTTTATTAACTCCTGATATTTTGTATAGGCCTAAGACCAGCGCGTGAGTAAAGATAACTCCGATATTAGACATAGCAGGCTGAATCAGTAAACGACAGCAACAACTATATATATACGCTATTGTTTATTAAACCAGGCGGCACCTATGACGGATGAACACGCGCCATTGCAACGGAATTTAATATGGAATCGGATAGCGTCATATTAAAAAAAACCGTTAGATGGATCCACCGACTCGCTGTTATCTTAATCTGTAGCGGATCGCGCTAGTTCTTCCACGCGTATATTGTTAAACCGATAATAAATGACTGTAAACTGCGCAAAAAGCGTTTTCATACAACGTATTGTACACACGAATAACAGTTTTTAGGTTTTATTTCCAAAAAAAAGAATAATATGATTTCATTATTTATCGATATTTCGTGACGCGACAATTGCATACGCGACGTAAACATCACGCGATCGAGACGTGAGTTAATCGATGCGTCACCAATATAATCATCAATACACGCGCAACCACAATAATTATTGACTTCCATCAGTGCGGTACGGTTACCAGTGTGCCTGCTAGACACACGAACGTAACCATAGCAACAGAGATGCCAACACATATTTGAAGCAATCTGTAGTTTCTGGCCATCAAATTAGGTAGTTCGAGGGTCATGTAGTGACCCGAGTTTGCTATGGGGGGTCCGGCATTGCCCCCGGAAAAAATTTTGATTCTGAGATGCAATTTCCTGCATTCTGAGGGTCAATAATGACAATAAATTGACAAAAAAAATTCGTAGTTTGATACAAACTGGTCGTAGTGGTGCAAAAAGAATAGAAATTTGTATAAAATACGGATAAATCGTAGTGGTTGGCATCTCTGCAGCAACAACGCCAACCACACTAGCTAGGTGTACCTATACATTTCTATGGACGTAAGGCTATGCACGGGTTTACATGGGTCCGTAGGTTCGATGAGATGGTATAGACAAAGCATGCCCAGACGCTTGAAGACGAACCTAGAATTTGACTTATTTCATGTATCGCCACACGCACGCACGCACGCACGCACGCACACTCACACATACAAGTATACTCGCTTAGGTATATATACGAGCATCATATATAGAACATGGCTACAAACTAACTATAAACGTGAATGATAACGATTAATAATATGACACAGTGAATGATAGCAAGTGTTAAATCGATACGAAAACGAGCGCCTAACACGCACAGGGGAGGGGGGGGGCGTAATTTTAGACGTCCCTATTACGGAACTCATCACGTCTCTTCCCTAATACACTCACACACGCACGCACCTATACCACCTCAACTACGCAAAAATTACAACTCGATCCTAAACGAACACGAACTAAATACTATAACTATAATATACAATAACTAAATACTCGATCTTATTCTATAGGTAAACGTCTCACTATCTGAATAGGTTAATAGAACCACACTGATGGCGGCAATTAAACGAAACCCAAACTCGTGTGAAAACGATCATTTTTGCAAAGTAACAGACCACTATCATTCTCCAATAAAACTCTAGGAATGTCCGGCGAAATTTAATTTCCACCTTATTATCGCCATAAAAAAACAAAAATAACAGCGCTCATGTGGATCCAGATTTATCCAGTCGTGTTTTCGAGATCCTAAAGGGACCCTCCAACGACTGAGCCATGGTCGTTTGGTGTGTCGCTAGTACTTGAGTTAAATATCGATTTTATAATCAAATATCGATCGTCGATTAATAATTCAGGATACCTGTGACCTATTGAATTACTTCGCGATTTGAGTGAGTCTTTTTCGTGTTCTCGACAATGGGAGATGTATCACAGCATCGCCACGCGCGAGAATCCCTCACAGTAACACAGCACGCAACCCCTCAAATTTCAATCGATTGATCAACTAGGTTGAAGCCAAAGCGCCACATGTCGCGGGTCAAATTGTCGGTATGGGGCGGCTATATACAAACGTCGATCAAAAAACCAGAGAGACATGATACAAGATTGCGTGGCACAGCTTTGCTGTTGATCCTAAGCACTGCGCGCGGATGAGACGCGCAGTTCCACGGGATCTGCGCACGAAACCGCGGGGA